TTGAGCTTCCTTTGATCAAGTTAAGTTCACAAGGCTTCGACTGCGCAAGGCAAGAACCCCCTACAAGTTTATTTCGATTTACAAGGGCAAAGGCTTCCTATGTGCTTGATTTCAATGCACAAGGAAAAAGGCACCTTTCACTGGCTTTCGATTCAGAGCAATGACCTCCTCATGCTAACATCCATAAGGCATTGGCTTCATTTGTGCTAGTTTTGACTGGACAATGGTTCTCTTCGAAACTGCTTGCGTCAACTCTATCTCTGAACCTTTTCAGCATATGATTTCCACATTATGAGCCCACATTGGTGAACCATTCGAAGAATGCACGAGGAATACATGCGCGCTATTTCAAAGACACACAAAAGGGCCATTCGAAGGATGCACAGGTGTTCCATTCGAAGGATGTACAGGTGTTCTATTCGAAGGATGTACAAGTGTTCCATTCGAAGGAAGTAACAAAAGGTCCATTCAAATAAGCATTCATAAGATCCATTTGAAGGGTACATAAGAGGTCCATTCGAAGGAAGCAAGTCATAGCCAATCGAAGGGCAGGGACTGAAGGCATTCAAAATACAAAGGTGTCCAGGTTCATTCAAGATTCCAAAGAGGCATGAATATTTCAAAAAATGAAATCTTTTAATATGTCTGATTTTGGTCTCATTGCTTTCAAAGCTGGTTAATTACTGTCTCTTTCCATTTCCATGCGCATCACACTTCTATAAATACAAGTCATAGGACACATTGCAAACACAAGAAAAAAAGGAGAGACTAGCTCATACACGCACATGCTGCCTCAAAAAGTATAATAAATTATAAAAAAATCTTATAATTCGAAGCTAGTATTACAGGTACCCCCAGTCTACACAAATACTAAATTTATGCTCCTGAGGCTCCCAAGAGTCTATTCCAAGCCCATCCATATCCAGAAGTTCCAAATCGAAACAACCCTTAACCAAGGGTACCCACGCCTGAAGCCACAGATTCATACATCACCGTTGGTAAGGACTGGTAAAAAGATCAAACTTTACATTTGCATGATATATTAACACTTGTAGTTCATTCGATTTGTATTCAAGATTAAGGACCTGGGTTCGACACCCAGGTCTGCATTTATTTTGTTTCTAACATTTGTTGCAGATCCAACCTGAATAGACCAACGCGCGCATGATCAAAGGACCTGGGTTCGATACCCAGGTCCTGCATCTTTATTTGGCTAATATTTGTCTTTCAGATTCAAATCGAAAGGCAGAATCCACCCCTGGATCGAAAAGCAAAGCAACGCTTCTTGGATCGGAAAAAATCATATTCCCCTCTGGATCGAAAAGCCCCCATTCTTCCCCGGATCAAAGGACAATCTCCTTCCCATATAGAACGACAATCTCCTTCCTGGATCAAAGGGAAATCCCCTTCCCTGGATCAAAGGATTTTCGTGTATTTTTACTTTTCATTTTGTTTATTTTCTCTTAATGTTTTTCATCTTTACAACAAACATCAAATCAAAAGATCACAAAAAATTAGGTTCTAGTCCTTTTCTATTAAAATTAAGTTTGTTAATCAAATATCAATTACTTTAACACTTTTTCTCAAAAATAAAATAAAATAAAACAAACAAAAATATTTCTTTTCCTTAGGATTTAGACGTCCCTTTTAATTCGTTTGCGCATTTATTTACTTTCGCATTTTTTTCATCTTATTGTAACTGCTTCCTAGTTTGTAATAGTAACTAGGACTTTACTTTTCGCATTTATATAATGTACCTCTCCCAAATCTATGTAATAGCGTAGGATTTACATTCCCGCACTTTACATTTCTGCACTTTAAATTACTGTATATACTACTGTTAATAACTAGACTTGTATGGCAAAGACTAAAATCAAACGCTAGCAAACCTAACAAAAAAAAGATAAATAACCGAAACAAGCACACTTGCACATATACACCTCTAGGGTACGCCTACTTTGGTTGCCTTCGGAAAAAAGACAGTCATGTCCCTCGAAAGAGGGACGCTTTAGCAAATACCCGTAAAACAAAAGATCATAGTCCCTCAATGGCCCTACAGTTGTCTCTCGGTAAATGATCTAGTCCCAAAACAAAATTGCTAAAGCGTCTCCACATGTTGTCTTTATGACTGTACGTCCCTTAGAATGTCCCTCATACATCCAAACGACTATGGCTACCTACTCACTAATAGTAGGCTAGCCTTGTCTAAAGGAAAGGACGAAAAGAACGACCCTTTCGAGTAAAGTAGATAGTTGTTAGATGCTTGCTCAAACAAACTTTTTACACCTACACAAAAACTTTCAAAAATGTTTTCAAAAAATGCTTTATCAACACTCTTGAGGACTGATCCAAGAGTTACCATAAAGCAAACTGCCTCACTATGGCATTTCAAAATACTTTTCAAAAACACACAAAGTAGAAGGTATTTTAAAAATGAGCTAAACATCTAAGAGGCTGTAGAGAACTACGGAAGGAAAGGGTGCTAACACCTTTCCTTTCCATAATCTACCCCCCTTACTCAGGAAAATCTCGAAAAGGTTTTTTTCTGTTCTTTTCACCCTTTCCTTAATTTGTATAAAAGAAAATACGGTGGTGACTCTTGCTTACCGCAACATTTGAAAACACAAACGCAAAACCAGTATAACAGTCGGTTCTGCCACCATATCCCAGGCAGCAATAGTGAAACCTAAGTTAACTATCCATTCATGTTCCATTATATTCCTAGGGTTCCTATGGTTGTCACTTGGCCTGGGTATTGGGCCTTTTACCTCATAGTAACACCCACCCAATAAGAAGCAGATCCAGTATAACAGTAGTGTATGGAAAGCAATAAAATGCAATGCACTCATATGCTCAGGTATATACAAAATGAATGAATAAACTGAAAGCATAAAAATAAACACCCAAAGAAAGGAAACAAGGGCTAGGAGCGACTCTGGGATGGACCAACATTTGGTCGATCTGTCCCCAGTGAAGTCGCCAGCTGAAACAACCTGCTAAAAATCATCAAACAATGAAGTCGCCATCGAACGTCTTTTATCCCACATGAAGGGAAAGGTAAACATCGAGAAAACCTTAGATGGGAGAAGTCACGGTCTTGTGACCGAGAGATCGGGTAAGGGAGTCTATTACGCGAGGGGAAGGTATTAGCACCCCACACACCCGTAGTACTCTATGGTATCCACTCTTGTTATCTAATCTTATGGGTGTGTTTAATTTATGCATACTGTTTATTACTGCTAAAGAATTCGTGCAAAAGGAATGAGAAAAGAATGTAGGGAAAATAAATTTATACTCGCTTGGGCCCTACCCCAATGCCTACGTATCCTTTTTGAGGAATCAGAGCTACCGTAGTTCGGCTCACATGATTTTGTTTGTTTTGTGTTTTTTATGGACAATGTTAATTCCGCCTTCTGTCGCAGCTCGACCTTTAGAGACTTATATGTTGGCACATAAGTAAATTAATCATGTCCTTGCTGAAGATGGTTTCGAGTTAAGCCCTCGAGGCAAGATGTCACTTTGATTGGTTTGTATCTTGTTACCTTGAAAAAGGGTTTAGGTGTGATTAGCATGTTTTAGGTTTGCTAAGAAAAAAGTTTTAGTTTTAGATGCAAGGATGCAAAAAGGGAAAGAAAAGAGTCTAAGGGATACTAACCTATTTCTAGCCTAATGTTATCATACAATGGTAGTCCTAAGATTTGGATTAACGAAAGGGAAACATCTACCTAATGTTAGCATGCATGGTTTCCAACCTAAGGTCTAACTCACATCCGAATGGAGCAAGAACATCCTAAGGGAACATGGTATGTACAAGGATAAAGCAAACAAGCTTGAAGAAGCACACACATAAAATAGTAAGGAAAATAAGAGAAATGCTTTAGCCAAGGGGAGCGTATCACCCGAGACAAACAAGCGGGAGTGAGATGAAAAAACAAAAATGTGATGTCCAAAGCGACTGAACACCTAACTAAGATATAGGAGATCGTGGTAGAAGACAGAAGACAGTATGAACAATCACAAAGTATCAACATCAGCCAATGCAAACTCCTGAAAAAGCGTGGGGGTTCGATTGTAGAAACCTTCCATACTAGACGACTCTATATACAAGAGCAGGCATAACTCCGAAGCATCATGGTGCGTCACGAGCTAAGGATGACACGGACGAAATTATGGGGGTTGATTGCTAACCCTCCCCACTCGCCTCCTTTTGAGGACTTCAATAAGGGATGGGAGAATAATACAGGCACAAATATAAACACACATGCAGAATACCTACTCAATGGTAGGGTTTTAAACAAACCACACACAAGTAGCAAACAGAATGCACACAATGCGGAATTTCCCTAAACGGGTCTTTAAATAAACTAGAGGGGTTCCTGACATGATCAGCAATGAAGACCCCCGTCATACATCTCTATTCCTACTTCTCATGGCAACAGAAAGCAGTAAAGTCCTACTTCTCATGATATCTAGGAAAGAGGTAAAAAAGTATGATAAAGTGCGGAAATAAGAATAAAATAAGGTTGCGATGATACCGAATAGAGAAGGTCCGTTGCCTCTTTAAAACAATGCAAGTGGTAAGAAAACTCTACCAAAGCTGCTTCACACAAGCAATCGAAAAATTAATCTCCAAGCATTCCCATCGCAGAAGATTGCCTCACTTCTATCACAAAATCTTAGCTAAAGATGGCAACGAAAATGGTTACTAAACATAAACAGTAATAGAAAATTCTAAAAGAAAATCCTAAGAAACTCTAAGAAATTCCTAAAAACAATTAACCATTTTTATCATTTTCATTATCTTTATCATTAATTTTATCAAATATTAATAAAAGAAAATCAATAGAAAAATCTAAAAAAGGCCCCTTTATAGGGGGTGTGGATATGGAATCCAGTGGTATGAATCCAACAGGCCTAAAGTGCTAAGCCCAAACGCTATAACCCAAAGCTGATTCCTCCATTTTTATTCTCTTGTTATATTAAAAATCAGAATTTAATAAATAATTATAATAAAAAAGCAAAAGGGTAATAGGTTGAGAACAATGTCGTTCGGTGTATTCTTAGGAAATAATGTCTCTCTTCCAAAGTGTCACCTTTTTCTACGCACACCAGTGGCGGCGCGACTTGATCTCCAACATCTCCTTCGATGCGCCGATCACACTTCTCAACATCTCGTCATCTTTCTCGACCTATGCTTTCCGCCATCTTCAATTTCCACTGATTCTCAGCAGCAGCCCTGTCTCACTCTGTTTATCCTCGTCACTTTGATCGTAACCCCTAGTCGTGCCCTCATCACTTCCTTCTTCTTCTTCTGATCATCACCGCGCCTTGGTAGTCGCGATAGCGTTGTCTTCTTCACATCATTTTCGCAAACGGCGGCCCTACCGTCATTTCGCCTTTTTCTTCTTCTTTGATCACTCACGGTTGGAGCGTTCTTGAAAGATGCATATTGAAGATGATGTCGTCGCGGTTGTTGATGTGCAGAGAGATTGCGGATGAACATGGATGATGATGGCGATGAAGGCTGTAGAAGATTCAGAAGCGAAGATACGTGAAGATTGATGTAGTTTCGAAGTTGTTATTGATGCGGAAACGTGAAGCATGGTCAAAAATGCAGAGATGGTTATTGTGTAGAAGCTCCAATTGAGATTCTCAGAATGATGATTGTTAAAGGCTCCATGAAGATGAGAAGATGGAGCGGAGAGAATAGAGAAGATTGGTGAGTTTCTTCTGTGATGTTTTTTTTGTTGTGTGAATAATCTCAACAATTGTCTGTGTGTGTGTGTGTGTGTGTGTGTGTGTGTGTGTGTGTGTGAGAGAGAGAGAGAGAGAGAGAGAGAGAGAGAGAGAGAGAGAGAATTTCTCAGTTTTATTGGAGATTTTTCTCCTTTCTGAATAATGATTGTGTATCTTCTCTCTGTGAATGAAAAAACCTATTATCTAGTATTCTTAGTTTTATATAGATTCCAATCCCAGCTCTTGATTAAATCCATTCTATTAGAGATTGGAGGGTGAGATTTGAATCAATTAGAGGTTTTGGTTGGGCCAGTTAGCTAGTAAGTTTAGAGGGAGTTAGAAACTGTTAGAGAAAAACAGTTAGGAAAATTCTGTTATTTCTGTTATAGGACTGGGATTCCTGTTAGCAAGAGTTTGTGGAGTTATGGACAGGATTGTTCTTCTGATTTTTTTTAATTAGTTGATGTGTTTCTTCTTCTGAGTTTTCTATTTTCACGGTTTCTGATATTTCCCTTGCAGTATATTTTATTTGGTCAATTGAATTGGATTTTTGATGTTGGCAGTTTTGGTTAATTGACGTAGATTGGTGTGATCAGTTAAGAGTTTATTGAACTGTTTGGAGAGGAAGTTAGAGATTCTGTTAAAGGTGGATGGAGGTTAGAAATCTCTGGAAGTTTCCTTTGGAGGAAGTTAGGATATTTTATTAAGCTTTTTCTGTTTTCTATTTCTGATTTGATATGAATTTCACTCTTTTGAGCTTTGAATCGGTGCAGGTTTTTATGGAACAGGGGTGTAGAGTCGGTTTTACTCCGTGATGTTGCAAGCCATAAACTGATTTTTCTTTGACGTGGACTTGAGGCAAAAGGTTGAAAGAAAATAAAGATGGAAGCTCGCATATTAACTCAAAGAAATTAACTCAAAGAAGGGTCGTGTTATTTGAATTATAAACAATAGGCTACCATGTATTTTTTACGATTCCCTTTCGTGTATAATTGGACTTTTTATCTCCCTTTGAACCTTTGTAATCTTAATATAACGGAAAATTTGTAATGGTGATCGAAATTTTGAACTTGGAGACTTCTTAATGCATTGGTAGATACTAAACATATATTGCGACATTTTGGTGTAATGGATTTGAAAGTGATGTTGAATATGACTTGAAATGGTTTTTTGTAATCGAGACTTTGATTTAGGAGTTATTTAAACATGTAAGGATTTTGGTCAAATATCCTTGAATTTGTAATAAACAAGACTTGAATCAAGTTTGAATTGTTTTCCCTCCATTCCTGTTTCATTTAAAATTTCAAGTCTTATCTCATTTGTACCTCATGCCACGCCATGCTATACTTACATAAACCACGATAAAAATCAAAAGCGACTAGAAATACTTTAGTCAAAAGTCCATCTTCCATGGTTGACTGTGACTAAGAGTCAAGGATAGCGCAAATGACTTCCTTCTCAGAAAAGATTCCCAAAATAATCTATGTAAGACCTCAAATCCTTGCATAAGATCCAAAGTAAATGTCATGAACCAATCTTTGAATTGACAATAAGAAAGTACAAATGCAACCCTAATTCGTCTTATGACACAATCCTCATGAAATAACTTTCAATCCATGATCCACAAGAATTTTATGTCCAAGTGCAACATATTTGAAAGAAGTCTATCAGAATGGGTTGCACCCTAAGTAATAGAGGAACCACACCTCATATGATGAATAAAGCCCACGTATTGAGAGAAAGTAGCCCATGACGATTATGGAGTTAAGCCCTATCCATATTCAAAGAGAAAACCAGTTAGACCAAGCTTGTAGAGTGTTGATCAGAAGCCTCAAACCATGTAAAAACCCTAACTCTTCAAAAGCCTTGATCCCATGACAAGTTATGATGAATGTTGCATGATGTGTTAGATGACATAATGAGGGTTATGTACATGTGAAAAGTGTGAGACGCATAAGCTAGATAAAAGTAAAAGGGTAGGACAAATTCGGGGTATTACAAAGAGGAAGAATATATGGTCAGTCATTTAAATTCTTTCAAATATGTGGAAATGGATGGCGAATTTATTGAAACCCCCTTCCAAGCATTTGAAGTAATCCCTCCAATGATGGTTGTTGCTAAAGCTACTATTCCTGATATTTCCAAGGACACTCCAAGAATGGCCTCTCTAAAGGATGCTCGGGCTGTTGTAGAAGATGGAGGTGGCACTATCTGGGGATAACTTCCTTACATCCCCTACAAGTCTAACAAATTTGGATTAGGTTTCACTTCAAAAGCTCAGAAAGAGGTTCAACGTGCTCGTGCTGGAGGACCACCTTTCCGTATTAGCAATAATGAAGTCAATTCCCTGAAGACAATGATGGTGATAGTGACTTGGACGACTTGATATTCCCAATTGCTGACGGCGGACTCAACAACTAGAAGGCCAAAGACTTCATGTCAATCTCCTTCTGCCAGGAGTAATTGCTATTTCCTGTTTTTATTTGCTTTAAGAACTTTGTCTGTATAATTTCCTTCAAAATAATGAATTTAAACCATGTGCCTTGCCCGGGGCACAATGTTCCATTTGTTAAGGGTTGTCATTCCATATATCATATGCTCATTTAATGAAAACATTGGACGATATTGCATTCAAATTTTGCGCTCCTTGCCTTTCTTTACCTTTACTGCATTTTCAAATAGCCATGTTACCTTACATGCACACATACACACACATTTGCAGATCCACATCTACTCTGGATCTCATTGACAACAATTCTGCTATTGCCATTTATAACTTCGAAAATCCAATCTATCAAGCCGAAGACGAAGGTGAAGAAGATTGTGAGATACCTGGAGAACTCACCAGACTCTTGAGTCAAGAGGAAAAGGCCATCCAACCACATGAAGAATCGGTCGAAGTGATAAATTTGGGTACTGAGGCAGATAAGAAAGAGGTCAGGATTGGCACCAACCTTGAAGACAATGTCAAGGGCAGATTGGTTCAGATGTTGCACGAATATTTTGAGGTGTTCACTTGGTCATAGAAATACATGCCAGGGCTCGATACCTATATCGTGGTTCATCGTCTACCAATGAAAGAGGGTTGTTCTCCGATCAAACAAAAGCTTCGTTGCATGCGCTCTGATATGTCAGAGAAAGTCAAGGCCGAGGTAATGAAACAGTTCAATACAGGTTTCTTCGCAGTGACATTGTATCCCCAATTGGTTGCAAATGTCGTTCCAGTGCCGAAGAAAGACAGTAAGGTCCATATGTGTGTAGACTACATGGTGTGATACCGTGGCGGAACCGACTGTTACACTGGTTTGCATTTTTTATTCGCAAATGTTGCAGTAAGAAAGAGTCGCCACAGACTTTTCTTTTATCCAACAAAGGAAAGGGTGAAAAGAACAGAAAAAGACCTTTTTCGAGAGTTTCAGAGTAAGGGGGTAGATTATGGAAAGGGAAGGTGTTAGCACCCTTTCCATCTGTGGTTTTCCATGGGCTCTTAGGTAATGGCTCATTTTTGAAAACTGTTTTCGTGTTTGTGTATTTTGAAAGGTTTTGTTTGCTTTATGATAACTCTTGTATCAGTCCTCAAGATTGTGATAAAGCATTTTTTAAAAGAGTTTTGAAAGTATGGTGTGAAAATGAATTAGATTTGAGCAAGTACTTAATAACTATCTACCTACTCGAAAAAGGTGTTCTTTTCCTCATTTCCTTTAGATAGTGCTATCCTACTATTAGTGAGTAGGTTGCCCTATCGTTGGATGTTGAAGGACTATCACAAGGGACGTTTATGGTCATTGAAGGCAACATGTAGAGATACCTTAGCAGTTTGAAGGGACTGTCATCATATATTCGTAGGCAACATCGAGGGACAAGATCATTTCTTGTTGGCAACTCGAGGGACTTTGAGGTACTATGATATTTATGATGACTTTAAACTGAGGGGTCTTTGCTAAGGTATCCCTACGTTCGAGGGACATGACCATTTCCGAAGGCAACCAAAGTGGGAGATACCCTAGGGGTGCAAGGGTGCAATATTATGCTTTTTTCGTTTATTTTTATCTTGATGTTAGTGATCTAAGCTTGATTGTTTAATCCTTGCCATACACACCTAATTTACTAGTAGTTTATATACAGGCATATAATATAGTGCGGAAAGTAAAACCTATAACTATTACAAGGCTTCGGGGCAATTACAATTATATCTGAGTGAAATGTAAAGTGCGGAAAGTAAAAATCCTAATTAGGCTATTACAATCTGGGAAACAGATACAATAAATTAAAAAAAAAATGATAAAACGGAAAATAATAAGCGCAAAAATTAAAACGGGCATAAGTTTGAAACCCTAAAAACCCAATTGCTTATTAAAAATATTTTTTATATTTTATATGAAAATTTGAGATTTAACCTAATTTCTAATTAATTTTAAATTAAAGCAAACTAGTTAAAATCAATTAAATTAAGTTAATTCGCTAGAATTAATTTTAATTAAAAAAAAACCTAAATCTATTTTTTGTGATTTTTTGTTGATTTTATGATTTTAAAAAATGAATTTAAAAAAAATATAAACTAATTAGAAAAAGAAAATAAAGTAAATTAAAAAAGGAATGGGCCTGGAGTGAGAAACCAAATTGGGGGGTGCTGCACATAAATTTGCTAAGGGCCCAGATTTGTTGGCCCACCAATGCGTGTGATCCAGTGTTGCTTCTTCTAGAAGGTCCACCATAGGGCTGCACGCTTGGAGGCACTGGATTCAAGCCACTGGGATCTGTTGGTGATGGTGTGAGGACACATGGTGTGCACCTTGGGTCTGGGTACACTGAATCCATATGAAACCTATTAGGAATACAAAACTCCAGACCTGGGAATCAAACCCAGGTCTCTCCCTTTACACACATTCCTCTTCACCACTCAGCTAACCTGTTAGTCGTTTATACCAATGACAAAATGATAATATATTGGAAACATAAACAAAATGTGGAGGTGTACACGCATGCGCCCCAATGGGGCCCTGGATATTTGACTGAACCACAAAAGAAGGGATCGTGCCACACATGCCTCGCCTGAGGAAAGAAACCTAGAGATGCCGGAGTCAACACTCCAGTCGTCTTCTATGACGGGCCTCAATCACCAAACCTGCAAAATAGCCACATTAAACGCAAAAGAAGGACCCTACCCCCCTAATTCGAGGGCTGCGAATCCAGTGGTGGTGTCCATTTGGTCTAAAAGTCCATGTACAGTGAGATACAAAGCTTATCGTTCTCTACGCCCTAACAATGGCAGATGGCTATTTAGCCATCAAAGCTTACCAAAGATTTCCCAAACATGTTCCTTATAATTTCTTGATCATGTTAATGGGGTTAGAACAGATTGAAACGGGCTATAATTAAAAAGACAAAAGATAGAAAAATCATGAAAATATGAGTCATGCATGATGAGTTTCAGCGTGCTATGGCTATGGATGATGATCCATACTTACTTATGCTTACCTCAATAACACCAAGGAATGGCTAGAAGGCTTTGAAACTGGCTGCCAATATGAATACGAATGACACCACTCTTTGAATTTTTTTAGAAATATTAGGGTTCTTTTGAGACCAGCTGCGCCTGTCCTTTAGGTCTGGAATTGTTGTGTATATGTAGTAAATCACATTAGGTTAAACAAATGTGGAAAATATCCATTGCATTGAGTTCAAGATTTGTTTCAAATATTCACTTGAAAATCTTTCTTATTTTGGACATCCTTTCCCATCTTGGCTTGCACGTTTTTACCTTGATATGCCAGCATATTTTGTCCATTATTTGATAAGAAAAGATTCCAAATCAAATCTTCCATTATTTTTATTATTTACTTATTTGATTTTGCATTTTAATGGATAAAATATCAAAATAAATAGTATAAACAAT